TTCACTATAATTTCTGGCATTGGTTCACAATTGAGCACTTTATTCACCATTGGTTTTATGTAATATTTGTACACAATTTGTGTATTATTTTGTTTTTGTTTTCAATTTAGCGCAACACTAGAGATTTATTTGAACCTGCTGCCATGAAAAATAGTACTGCATGGAGTACTTTTTTCAGCACACACCATAGCAATGCTGTAGTGTGAACTGAATGGAAACAAGGTATTTTGTCTTGTCTGTGCATTAGGGGCTGTGCTGGAATCAGCAGCCAACGTAGCCCCAATGTATCCAGTGTGCATGAGCCCTAAATGCAGCTGGAACACTCAGGGAAGGCTTGATTAAAAGGTTTACGGCTTGTCAAGAATATGTAAATATTTTAATGTCCTTGGCTTTGGAACAGGGGCACTTCAAGCATCAGTAAAAAATCCTTTTGTTCTAGTTGTGCTCATATGATGATCGCAACATTTGGCCAGTAATATAACACAGATGAATATTCACACAAGAACACCAAGTAGGGTACAGCTAATAGCATGAAGTTCAGTAACTGTTATATTAGTCAGTTGCAAAACCGATCAGCTGTCATACACTTGAGGGGGGGGGGGGGGTGATCAATGAGGTAGGCATACTATATATATATATATATATATATATATATATATATATATATATATATATATATGGGTTAGCCGGACGATATGATGTCAATTGGGGGACTATTTGTAGATAGTCTGGCACATAGCATTTGGTATATCTAGAACATTATGCTATCAACTGTTACAGTTTGGATTAATAATTCCCCAATCAAAATGAACCTAGGTTTCCTTATCTAAAGAGGCCTCCACCCACTCCAAGCAGAATACATAAAAGTTAGTTTGAGTTAACTGAATAATGAAATAGAAGGGGGTCGGAATATATCCACTTTTTCAAATTGCCTTTATTTGCTACAAAAAAGATAATGGTAAGACGTTACTTGCAGCCTTTAAAAACTATAGGTCCAAAAGTGCCATTTTCGGAGACAGAGGCAAATGGTTAAATGGATGCAAAAGTAGTATAACATACCAATGAGAATCAAAACTCCTTGATGTTGGGGCAAACCAAAAACACATGGTATAAGCTGACATCTGGGTGTTCACATTTAAAACAACTAGATGAGGAGCTTAAGTCCATGAGCTGAGACCTCACTGTCTCTGTTGTGAAATTTGAAGATTAATTTTCCCACAATGTATATACCTATATAGATGGGTTAGAGCCTATTTCAAATGGTTTTACTCCTTGTTCAGAATATGTATAAATACCTTTTGTGTATAGTCTGCTCCTAAGTTCACAAAGAGTGAACAAGTTAAAACAAGCTTACAGCTGCAGCAGGTGCTATAAGCTTGTTTTAACCATTATCTGTGGGCTCCTGGCTTTAGTGTAAAGATGATCTGTGAGGCTGCCCCCCCAATGGTTCTCGAACCCTCCCGTAAGCCTGGGATCACAACAGCTACCATGGCGAGCAGGAGTTCAGGGAACATCCAATCTCTGATCTCCTTTGCAGCACTGTGAACCAAAAGTGCACAGCTCTGAGCACCACCGATTCAGAGCAATCAAAATCCCAGCAAGAAAGCCACGTGTACAGCGGATTGAGCACAATCAGAGGGCAGAGGAGATAATATGGGTCTAATGTCTCCATACAAAGAACCTGTCAACCCAATGCCACCACATATGTTAGCCCCCTTGTGATACCAATTATGTTAAATGAAAAATAAATGTAAATATGTTAGAATAAAAATTACTAAGCATCACTAGTGGAATTAAACACCCATGTGAAAACATGCCTGTTTTATGCACTGTTTGAAGCCGAGCCTTAATATAATATTAGGACAAACATAATACAAGGAGCAGACATGTATGGCCATAAAGACTACCTTTGCTGTAAATGGAGCTCTAAATAATAGTTATGTTGGAAGAATCCAACAGAATTAGAGCTGTGTCATTAAGCAGAATTGTTTGGCTTACACACAAGTCTGTCTTTCAAAATCTAGCAAATAACCACAATCTGCCTGTGTAAAAAATCTTGCCCGACGTTCCTAATAAGCTGTCTTGTGACCTGATTATTCTGCCTTGTTAACCTGCCAGAAGTTCTCAGTTTAATAGCTACATATTATTCTACCTATGCACAGGGTTAAGGACATGCTAGCAGTTTAAAGAAATATTAAAGCAGTTTTTTTCACCAAATAATAATAGAATAGAACTTACATATATTTTCTTTTTTTTTTTTTTTATTCTGATCTGGGTGTGTTTCTGTAACCGTTTCCTTGCAAAAACTGATACTGTACATGCAGCCCTTCAGAGCGCCTCATAGTGTAAACAGTAAACAAGTGTAAACAGTGATTGACAGTGGTTGTCAAGTAACAGTGCAGTTCAGCTGAAAGGTCTGACATGATTATTACACATTGGAAAGATCCTTGAGTTCCACTTTAAAACCAACGGTGTAACTGACAGTAATACTATATCTAGACATGAACATGTAAAGCAGGCTGGCTCAACCTGTGACCCTCAGCCTCCAACCAGGTAAGCAAACTTCTATTATATCCTGTGGGTTTGGTGCGCTTTCTGAAAGCACAGCAACACTACTGAATGCAAGAGTTTTGTTGTGCTTTCAGAAAGTGCACCACACCTGCACGATATAATAGAAGTCTATGGCAATGTGCAGCTAACCCGCAGGAAAACAGCTGATGCAATGCGCGGCACCGGAGATGCAAGTAAACCACAGTGCATCAGTATGAAATCAGCCTTATAGGTGGCTCAGGACAAAAAGGGCTTGTTTACATTTGCAGTAAAATCCCATAGTTAAGACGTATTTTTACCACACCTCTCCAACTACTGGTGTAGTGTCAAGAGTTGCAATGGTGATCCCGCCCCATGCTCCAGGGGGCCCATGCGGCCTCCCTGTCATATTCTGTCTATTCTGTTTTACACGTTGACAGAAGGTGTGGCAGGGATAGCATATACAGGAACTGATCCTCTCCATTTTCTTTCTGCAACCACTGAAAGCCGGCTTCTCCTCCTCTCCCTCCTGCTTGCATTCAGAAATTCTGAACCATTTGATTTCATTGGGGCCCATGACTGGTTATCAAATCACTTAAGTGGCCCTCGCTCTTCAAAAGGTTGGAGCACCACTGATGTAAAGCTATCAAACAACAAATTCAGAGTAATAGTGTAAAAATCTTTTAAAATGCATATAGTAGCTGAAAATATACTGTAAATATAAGAAAAATCTGATAAATTGTACTTGGAAAATTAAACTGAATGAATAAGTGCATCTGCACTGAAAAAGGAAGAAATTCCAAATGTCTTGAACAATCAAAAGGCATCATACAAATACTATGGTTTACACCAGGGCTCAACATATCCCAGGCACCAGTTCGTTATGACGACCAGAAATCGCATCCTGGCACCTGGGCAATGGTCAGCCCACTCACAGCAAGCAACTCTGGATGGAGGGCAACCGGAGGGCAACCGATCCTTCTCTCTCCCCCGTTCGCCATAGTCTCCCTGGAAGCAGGCAGTAGGCTGGGCTGGAGTCCGATGTCCGGCTGTCAGGCCCGGTGTGAGTAACAGTCGGTGGTGGCTGGGCTTCTCTCTTCAGGCAGCTGATAACCCCATCCCCCAAAGCCTGTGCATGGTCTGAGGAAGAACGGCTTCTCTCTGGGAGAGCTCTGTTGGCTCTTTTGCTGCCCACCGTGCCCAAGCCGCATCACTGCCAAGCTGGCCTTCCTCCACCCGGAGCTCACCTGGTGCGCACACAGTGTGGGAGAGGCGAAGGGGGGGGTCGGCGGAGACGCAGGTGGGTACCCAGTGGTCTCTGTGCCCCTCCCATGTGGCCTCCACCTGACGGAGCAGGCAGACAGGCAGTACTCTCTGCAGGAGCTTGACGTGGTGGAGCTGTTTTGGTGGAGGACGGAGCTGTCTGGGATGTATGTTCGCCTGCTGTGCCCTGAGGAGAGGTGGATCTGGGACAGGTGTGCTCTTTCTTTATCTGCCTGGTCCCCACAACAACGGCAAGGTCTCAAGGTGTGTGTGTATATTTTATTATATATACACATACATACACACACACACACGACCAGACCCGGGGTGTATATAGAGGGGGAGTACAGGACAGGTCAAGTGTGTATACAGAGGAGGGGGGAACAGGGTGCATACAGAAAAAGGGGGGGGGGGTGGATGAATGAGGGGGGAACCAGGGTATAGGGGGGGGAGCAGGGCTTGACAAATCCCAGGTTGCCATGGTGACCAAAAACCATGTCCCTATACCTGGGCCTGGCTTCCACCAGTCCATTCACCGCCAGCACCAGGCGCTAGCAACTCCCATTGCACGACGCCCCAGACATGCAGCTCCGGCAAGCCGATGCAGCTCAAACATCCAAAAAAAAAAAAAACTCCAGCTCCGCTGCTTACTTGCAGCAGAGCCAAAGTTTCTCTCTTCCTCTCCATACACCAGCCCCCCTGTGCACCATCCACCCCCTCCCCCAGCAGGCCCACTGCCCCAGTGCAGAAAGGCTCCCTCACACTCCCCTCTACACCAGCTAATCAGTGCACACCGTGGTCCACCCCTCCTCCTCACCGCCAGTCCCCACGTAAGGCGCTGGAAGCAAGCAGAGTCCAGCCTGCACAGAATGCCACACACTCACACATCAAAAACCTCAGCCCCAACAAGCCGTCCCACCCAGCAACATGCCCGGCTCCAGTCCCCTCCTAGCGCAAATTCCAGATCTGCCATCTCAGTCACCGAAAATAAAGCCGTTAGTCAAAAAGGAAAAAAAAAAATGGCTCCTAACTTTTTAGATGGCTCCTAGATCAAATCAAATTTGTCAAGCCGTGGTTTACATAAAAATTTAAATCTGCGAGAGAAAAAAACCATCTCAAATAAACAGTTCATAAATGTGACAGAAAACAGCAATTGTCAGTTAAACTGTCCATTAGAAAACACATTCCATATTCAGCTTACAACTTACCAGCCGGTTGTTCTCGAACACATTTTCTTTTGAGAGGGCACCAAAGTCTCTAGAGAGAAATAGGAAGAGGTATGTGAGTGTCAGAAAGAGGAGGGTGAAAGAGAGGGACTGTTTCCCCTCGGCTGAAGCAGAACACGGATCCATTACGATGAACAATTTTAGTTTTCTTTCATTCAAACATCCATGAAGAAAAACAGACAGGTGTGGATGGCAGCAACTATGTGTAGTCTGGAATACTGGATATTATAGATCAAGAACAAATCCTATACCATACATCATGTTAGAAATACCATAATATAGCATTATATGTTCTCAGTTTTTTTTTATAATAAACATCTGCTTAAATCAAATAGTACTTATGTCTACAAACTTATTTCTACAAACAGTATTTATTCATTAAAACTTATGTCTACCAACTGACAGCAGGCGCATGTATTGGTCAAGAAAATATTTTGTTTGAGCCAGCTGTTAGGTTTTAAAGAATAACCCCATTTTAATTGAAAAAAACATTCCTCTTGGTGATCAATGTACATTGCAGGGATTTTAAAGTGATACTAAAGGTTCAGATTTTTTTTTTTTTTAAACAACAAACATGTAATACTGACCTGCTCTGTGCAATGGTTTTGCACAGTGCAGCCCCGATCCTCCTCTTCTCAGGTCCAACACTGGAATTCCTGGCTCCTCCCCCCACTGAGTCCCCTCAGAGCAAGCTGCTTGCTCTGGGGGCACTAGTGCTGGCTCACTCCCGAGCCGCCTCTGTATCTTGCTCCCTCCTCATTGGCTGTGATTGACACCAGAGGTAGCCAATGGCTCCTGCTGCTGTATCTCAGCCAATGAGGAGGGAGAGACCCACTGCTCTCATGCACATCCCTGGACAAAGATCGAGCTCAGGTAAGTATGACGGGCGAACAGCTCACTGAAGGTTTTTTACCTTCATGAAAGTGTCCTACATTTTGCTATTATGAAAATATAGCTATTTGTTTGTCTGTGTCCATGTGCAGAGTGAATCTGTATGGGAGTGATTTTACAATTATCAAGCAGCTGCTGCACTTGTAGGGCTCATTTTAGAAAAATTGCAAGGTCTGCATCCCTTTAGACATAATTTCCCTTTGAGAGTATCTCACAAATATAAAATTTTTGGTGCAGGGGATGCCCAAAATCTCACTTGTACGTTACTAAGGACGTCTGTTAAAATCAGTGAGCCAATCACACAAGCAGAAAATGACATTTCTGGAGGTGTTCTAAACACCATCTGTGTACACATCACCTCCAGGTAGCCATAGTGCATTGCACAGAAAGTTGCACCACTGCAGATTGAAAAGAGAAGCTAACTTTTAATAACATTCAATTACAATATGACTTGTATAGCAATTGTATATGAAATTTTTTATTTTTTTGCTAATTTCCCCCCCCCCCATTAAGGACTCATAACATGGGCATCTAAGATGCCGCATTTAGGTGTATACAGTGTTTAGTTTTGCATGCATTTAAATGCAGCACTATAGAAATCAATGATGACATACACACAGCTGTGTCTACAAGCAAAAAATGTACACTTTCAGTGGTTACACTAAAAAAAGTAGGAAATAACTGCGTCCAGGGACGCACAGATCTGCAGATTTTATAAGTGTCCTTGTATAAACGTCTGTGTGAATGCATATACATGCATAAAGACATTAGAAGAATTGTATGGGACTAAACACGAGTACTTTAGGTGCACCTTTTATGCAAGATCTCCTGCTAGCTCTGCCAGAAAGAACCTGTGTTCCGAAGGCTAAGTATTACAAATTATACTAAAAAAATCAGAGTAGTAGCACTTAGCTATGACTAAATACATTATCAGTATGAGTCACAGAAACAGAAGACAGAACATTTTTGTTTCCAAGAACATTGGAAACAAAATAATGTATGCAACCCATGAAGACATCATATTTCACAGGTAGAGCTCTGACAAAATGATCATTAACATGGATTGGCTGCTCCTTTCTTGCATATTTTACCATGGTATGAGCAAAGCATGGATTATATGGGAAGAACAGGATTCATTTTTCAATTAAAGATATGAAAAGTGAAGTTTTCTTCTCTGTATTGGGTGATATGTAGCACACAACTGCTGTAATATTTCTCTTCTGTTTGGGTTAAAAAAAAAAAAAAAAAAAAAAGATATGAAAAGTGTAAAGAATGACTTTAGAAGTCCACTGAAATTCAGATTCATGGGCCTAATAGCACATTTATAGAAGACACAAAACTATACAATAAGGCCCCTTTCACATGGGCGGAATCCACTTGCTCATAGAGCATGAATAGAGCAAGGGAGCTTTATAACCCCTGAAAGATTTAATTTTGCCATCTGTGTCCCATTGCGGAGATTTCCCTTCATTTCCTATCCCACAGCCAAAAAGGAAGTGAGAAGAAATCACTCCAAATTAAAGCGGAGTTTCAGTGAAAATAAAAAAAAAAATAGGAGTCAGCAACTACATAAACTGTAGCTGCTGACTTTTAAAACAGACTTACCTGTCCCTCGATCCTGTGATGTCCTCCCAACAGCCCAGGGGATCTGGTCGCTGAGCCCCCACTTAGCAGAGCAGAGAGAGCGGATGACAGGTCTGTGCCCACTCCACTTAGGCAGAGGAGACATGGACACAGCCCGCTCTGAAATTTGGGTGGTCAGATGTAAACGGACCAGCTGTCCATTCACACCAGACTGCTATCCCAACCGCCCAGACGGAGTGGAACAGATCTGATCAGATTGGAGGTGGGTGGGTATAAACAGACAAGTCCATTAACATCCACCACTCCATAGAGGAGAATGGAGAGTCAGATCGGGTCTTCCAGTCCGTTTTGCAGGCGGACTCAATCTATGGAGCAGCAGATGTAAACGGACTTGTGTCCATTTACACCCGCTTACCTGCAATCCGATCCAGTCCACTAAAAACAAATAAAGGGGGATTTGTTCCCTTTTCGGTTATCGAATCAGAGGGCAGTTGGGTGTAAACTGACAGCCAGTCCGTTTACATCCGACTGCCCATACAGCAGAGCGGGCTATGTCCACGTCTCCTCTGCCTAAGCGGAGCGGACACAGACCTGTCATCCACCCACTCTGCTCAGTCAACAGCTCCCTCACTGAACAAAGCTGAGTCTGCCCCGTGTGAAAGGGGCCTAAGACCAACCAAAGGCAATGATTGCCGAGTCAGCGGCCAATGGTATTGTCATACAGAATTCATTACAGTCATTCCAGAAACACTGACAGCCAGAGAACATCACACATTTGTAATATACTGCTTGGGTGATGTCAGATAAAAGGACATTATTTTTCTTAGTTAAAGTAAAACTTTTTTTTTTCCATTTTGGATAGAGCAAGGGAGGTTTATAACCCGACAGATTTTATTTTGCCATCTTTGTCCCATTGCAGAGATTTTTCTTCACTTCCTATCCCACAGCCGAAAAGGAAGCGAGAAGAAATCACTGCAAACTAAGGCGGAGTTTCAGTGAAAATAAAAAAAAAATAAGAGTCAGCAAATACAAAAACTGTAGCTGCTGACTTTTAAAACAGACTTACCTGTCCCTCGATCTTGTGATGTCCTCCCCACAGCCCTTTCACCGGCCGCCCTGTGTTCCCGGAGCCGGAATCTTCAGTGTGGGCACCCGGCTGTGACAGCTTGCGGTTTCACAGCCGGGTGCCCACTGCACATGTGCAAGTAGCGCTGCGCTTTCTGAATGGTCCTGTAATCTTCTGGGACCTGTCATGTGTCCCAGAAGACTATGGGGAGGGAGGGGGGCTGGGGGACAAATTCCCCTTGCGATCGCCTATTGTGCCAATCCTTAACGGGGATCGAGGGACCAGTCCTTAAAGTGGAACTTCCCCTTTTATGGTGGAGCTTCGCTTTAAAGCGGAGTTCCACTAACGCCGTCAAAAAATATAGGCCAGCAGCTACAAAAATACACACTCACCTGTCCCTCGGTCCCGCAGTGTGTCCCCTGCAGCCTGTTTTACCGGACGTCTTCTCTCCCTGGGCACCGGCATCTTCAGGGTGGGCACCCGGCTGTGACAGCTTGTGGCTTCACAGCCGGGTACCCACTGCGCATGCGCGAGAAAAGCTGCGCTTCCTGAATGGTTCTGTAGTCTTCTGGGACCTGTCACATGTCCCAAAAGACTACGGGAAGGGAGGACACCTTCCACTTCCGATCGCCTAGGCGATCGGAGTGGAAGTGGGAGCGGGTACCTGTCAAATTCGGGTACCCGCTCCCCAAAGGTGCCAATCCTTAATGGGGAGCGGGGGACCAGTCTTTAACGCAGAACCTCCCCTTTTGGGTAGAGCTCCGCTTTAAGGACATTTCTGGAGGTCACCAGAACTAGTGTACACATTGGATGTTTTCCCCTCTATTGCTTTTCTGTTGACAACCCAAAATGTGGGATTTTCTTTTACTTTCAATGAGAATGCTAAACAGGACAAATATAGAGGGTGAATCTCCTTAATGGGGACACAACAGCCATAAAAACCAAACAAGTGTTCTTGTCCATCTCCACTCTATACAAAACCAGAAAAAAATTTTGCCTTTAGTTATACTTTCAGTGTTAGGTTGACCAAAGATGGATTGTTTTTAAAAAAAATAACCCAAATAGATGCCCCACATTTGAGGTGGATGGAGGAATCCTCCCCACTGTACTACTGTATTCTGACAGCAGGGACTCCTCCACTGTCAGGATACAATGATCAGCTCTGCAGCTGATTGGCTGCACTTGCTGATCGAATGAAAATTTTCCAACATTCCCATTTGAGAATGAGTGCAAAATGTGATGCAGCTCTGCACTGAAACCAATCAGCTTCCAGGTTTTATTGTCAAAGCTTAATCGAAGGAGCTGAAGTTAGAAGCTGATTGGCTACCATGCACAGCTGCACCAGATTCTGCACTCTCCAGTATAAGGCTCCATTCACACCTATGCAGTTTGCTTTTTGTCTGTTTTGCAGTGCATTTTGTGTTTTTGCCGCAATTTGCGTTTTGGTTTTTTTTTTCTTAAAAGTGGATTTGTTTTTTTTTGCTGGGCAGAAAATGCAAAATGCAACAAAAACGCACTGCCATGTATTTCAGCGGATTCTCCATTGAAATCTATTGTAGCAAAAACGCTTTTTGTTTTTAAAAAAAAGTCCCTCACCGTTTCTAAAAACGCAGCAGCTCAAAAAAAACAGATGTGAACATGTTCCATAGGGAACCATGTTAAATGGACTGTGGTGCGTTTCTGCAAAAAGCTCAAGAAAAAAAAAATGCATTGGTGTGAACGGAGCGTTAGTAATTCTCCCCCATGTCCTGTGGAGGGTGCGGGGTACGCGGCCTGTCCTGGCGTTGAGGACATTATCGGTAATTGGGCGCATTTGTCCTAACCCCCGCCGTGTCCTGAGGAATGGATGTCCCACAGACACTGGATCTCTGTATGACAGGGGGAAAATCGGTCAGAGTGCGACTGTCATCTGATGTGTATGTACCTCATCATCACCTGACCACAGAACGCGGCCACAATCTGATCTCCCCACATAGACCTGAACACTGCACCCTGTTCACAGTGTTCCCCCACAGTCCAGGACACACAGATGGTGATGATGGGTCATGTATACAGTGATGGCTTGTATTTCCTCCATGAACAGGTCAGGGCTCAGATTGTAGCTGAGCTCCCCCCATTAGATGGTCAGCTCCTGGGCCCAGGAAGGGGCGGTACTTACATGAGGTCGGGTCTCTGGCGGTGTATGAGCGCACAGAAGGCCAGGCCGTCCCGAAAGGAGGAGGTGAGGTCGGTGATCCGGACTCCCGGGTATCCATCACATTGCTGGGCACACCACTGCTGGAGAGTCCTGGCGGCGGACATCATGGTTGGGGCGCTGAGAACACCGGTAGGGGGGGGGCTGTATACAGCGCACACTACGGAATCACTACAGTCATGGGAGAGGCCTACCGGCGACCACTTGTCCTCCACCAGCCGGAGACCTTGACTCTGCCCCCCGTGTCCCCGTCCCAGGAATCTTCTGATTTCTCTCCGGCTCTTCCTCCGTCGTTCCGGGCGGTGTCTGTCCTGGGCTAGACCCGCCCCTTCACTTCTCCGCCTGTGCAGTGGGCGCTAGAGGGCGCGCCTACAGCGCGGAGTGTCCCAGAAAGGCCCCTGTGCCTGACTTCTCCTCACCTCCATCCATCCATCCATGATGTCCCTCATGAGGTGTGACGTGTGGGGCTCTATGAATAGGAGCTCTGTTCTATCTCATATCACCAGGAGGGCTTATACAGAGCTGAACGTGTCATACAAAGTGACTGGAGGACAAGAAGTGGCCATGCACCGCCTAGAATGAGGGACCTACCAGGGGGCTGAGCAGTCACACCTCAGGGGTTTGAAGCACTTTTCTAGAACTAAGGCCTCTTGCAGGCTGCAGCTTGAAGCAGCTCAGTACAGCGTTTTGTTTTTCACAAAGATAATATGTAGCCCATTATTTACAACGTGCCTTTGCATACAGGCGTGTGAATAAGTGTCATGAATTAGTAAATACAGGAAAATCTGCATTTTTGGTCAGCAATTTATGCTGTGTTTGGGCATATGAGCATAAATATTCATACTTCTCAAAAAACAAAGGAACACTTTTTAATCAGAGTATAGTATAAAGTCAATGAAACTCCTGGGATATTGATCTGGTCAGTTAAATAGCAGAGGGGGTTGTTAATCAGTTTCAGTTGCTTTGGTGTTAATGAGATCAACAACAGGTGCACTAGATGGGCAACAATGAGACAACCCCCAAAACAGGAATGGTTTTACAGGTGGAGGACACTGACCTTTTTTTCCCTATTCATCTTAGCTTGACTGTTTTGCATTTGGCTAGGGTCAGTGTCACTACTGGTAGCATGAGGTGATACCTGGACCCTACAGAGGTTGCACAGGCAGTCCAACTCCTCCAGGATGGCACATCAATACGCCATTGCCAGAAGGTTTGCTGTGTCTCCCAGCACAGTCTCAAGAGCATGGAGGAGATTCCAGGAGACAGGCAGTTACTCTAGGAGAGCTGCACAGGGTCGTAGAAGGTCCTTAACCCATCAGCAGGACCGGTATCTGCTCCTTTGTGCAAGGAGAAACAGGATGAGCACTGCCAGAGCCCTACAAAATGACCTCCAGTAGGCCACTGGTGTGAATGTCTCTGACCAAACAATCAGAAACACACTTCATGAGGGCCCAGCGTCTTCTAATGGGACCTGTGCTCACTGCACGGCACCATACAGCTCGATTGGCATTTGCCATTGAACACCAGAATTGGCAGGTCCACCACTGGCACCCTGTACTTTTAACAGATGAGAGCAGGTTCACCCTGAGCACACGTGACAGATGTGAAAGGGTCTGGAGAAGCCGTGGAGAATGTTATGCTGCCTGTAACATCGTTTAGCATGACCGTTTGGTGGGTCAGTGATGGTCTGGGGAGGTATATCTATGGAGGGACGCTCAGACCTCTACAGGCTAGACAATGGCACCCTGACTGCCATTAGGTATCGGGATGAAATCCTTGGACCCATAGTCAGACCCTACACTGGTGCAGTGGGTCCTGGGTTCCTCCTGGTGCACGAAAATGCCCGGCCTCATGTGGCAAGAGTATGCAGGCAGTTCCTGGACGATGAAGGAATTGATACCACTGAATGACCCCCATGCTTGCCTGACCTAAATCCAATAAAACACCTCTGGGATATCATGTTTCGGTCCATCCAATGCTGCCAGGTTGCACCTCAGACTGTCCAGGAGCACAGTGATGTCCTGGTCCAGATCTGGGAGGAAATACCCCAGGACACCATCTGTCATCTCATTAGGAGCATGCCCCGATGTTGTCAGTCATGCATACAAGCACGTTGGGGCCATACAAACTACTGAGTACCATTGTGAGTTGCTGCAATTAATTTTTTCACTTTGATTTTTCGGGGTGTCTTTGAATTCAGTCCTCTGTAGGTTGATAATTTTCATTTCCATCAAACGATGGGGCATCCTTATGTTCCTAACACATTACCCAGTCCGTATCTTTCTAGATATCCAGCATATTTTCCACATTAAGATCTGATGTGTTTTCAAAGTGTTCCTTTCATTTTTCTGAGCAGTGTACATTTTTCCCTGAGAATATATAGTGCGTGTAAATGCACGGACACACGCACATATGTGCTCAAAATAAGCGCTTCAAATTATGTTGAAAAAAAAAAAACAGATGCTCAAACATCAGTACCATGTGCAAGAGGCCTTAAAGTGTTTGTAAACCTCAGACATGAAATATGAACAAAGCATATCCCTCTATAGTGTTTACTTGTCTCAATTCAAGTGATAGTAAAGCTACTTCTTTGATTCTTACCTATAGGTAAGTCTATAATAAGGCATACCTATAGGTGCAGGAAATGTCTCCTAAACATGCACCATTGTGTTGCACCATGACTCATGACAACACGAAGCTGGAGGGCTTTGGTTTCAGGTAGGTCTGTCATAGTGTGCTAGTGTGGTGCACACTAGCACATTATGATTAAAACCACCCAGGAGCCAATTGTTTTTCTTCTGTGATGCAGTTTACTACCACTTTAAGAGCACTAAGTGTCATTTCTGTGTGATGCTTTGTTCCTCTGCTTTAAACATGAGTCACTTTGGAAAAGTTTTCCTGACACCAAGAGAAACATGGTAACAGGGGAGGGACCTCCAGCAGATTAACCATTGTAGGACTGCCCACCCACAATGTACTGCGGACGGGCGGTAGCTACAGGACCAGCGACATACCCATACGCTGCTGGTGCTTTAAAAAACATAGGGGCGCTCAGGTGCACAACCCTCCTCCCCTATGCCCGCTGTGTCCACCGGACACACTGAATGAGAATCCCAGTAATCTCCCGATTCCAGTGATCATGTGATTGATAGCGATCATATGATCACAATGACAACAAATCTGTTATGAAGCAATCTGATTCATAAAAGCTTTGCTTCTGTTCCTGGAGATTTACCATGTGACCAGCTGGAGCCAACCAATCACACATTCATGATAGCTCAAAGCAAGTGTAAAAAAAAAATCCCTGATTACCCCCCAGAGTAGTACAGTGTTACTATGGTAATAGTGGTGATGAAAGTGTTTAAAAAAAATAGTAAAAAAGGAAAATATTTTTTTTTTAAATTCTCGCACCAGCAAGAGATTAAGGAATCACCTCATTCACAAACTGGATGGAAAAAGGGTAACTATCCGGATACAAAAGCAGTCTTTGTTTGAAACCCTAACATCATTGGACCCTACCAACATTAACCAAATCAAGAATGAATTGGAAACTTTACAAAGACAAACACAAAACCTTGCCATGAATGGGAAACAAAAAAATCTTCAGAAGCTGCACCAAGAGCAGACCTTTTGGATACAACCGAAACATAAAAGCAACCCAACATCTATACCTCCTACTATCAGTGACCTGGAATCTAATCCGGAATCCCAAGGGGGATCCCTTGTATAAATGCTGACCTGATTGAAAATGTGAGGAACTTGGAATCATAAACTTTCTGAACCAGAAATAACCATCCTCCCCAAAGGCCTTACATTCTGCCCAACCACCAAATTGGATCATTTACAATTATTGTCAGATATGGAGGATTTCTTCAGGAGACTAAGGCTCAAAGAATATTTCCACAATAATGAAAGGAATCCTAGGACAATAGAGTGCTACACAAAGAAAAAGAACAGCTGCTTCACACCTCCACAAGGACGCAACCCCAAATTGGACACCTATATTGATAGCTTCAGATTGCGAGCTACATCCCTGATATCCACTCAGCAAAAGAAAATTCTGTACAATCTTTCACCACTAGAGTGAAGGGCTATACACGATTTGCGCAATAATGAGGCCATCACCATTAAACCAGCGGATAAAGGGGGAGCAGTTGTGATGGATACAAACAAATGCATACAAGAAGGTCAGAGGCAGCTGGAAAATGCCATCTACTATAAAAAACTGTATTATGATCCAACCCAGGACTTTACAAAGCAATTAAAAGGTCTCATTAAAACACTTCCAGCCCACCTACATTCAGAACTTATAAATGCAATTCCGGATCATCCAGAAATCGGGGACTTCTGCATGCTGCCCAAAGTCCACAAGCCAGGAAATCCAGGCAGACCCATCATAACAGGTATAAATACACTCACCGAACAAATCTCAGGCTTTGTAGAAAAATTTTTAAAACCGTTAGTCAAGAATACTGCTAGTTTCCTGAAAGACACAGCTGACTTTCTGAACAAGATCAACATACAGCAATTACCATCTAATATTCCATATTTTTCGCTCCATAAGACGCACTTTTTTCCCCCCAAAAAGGGGGGAAAATGTCAGTGCGTCTTATAGAGCGAATGTAAAGCAGCCGGTCCAGTATTTCTGCCGCCACCATGTCAGAATATCGGGCTGGCCGCTCAGCTCTTCTCTCCTGCAGGACCTTACCTATTCCTCGCTCCAGCGCTGCAGTCTTCCCACAGCGGCTTCTGTGACAGCCGGGTGCCCACTGCGCATGAGCGAGAAGCGCTGCGCTTTGTGAATGGTCCGACATCTTCTAGGACACATGACAGGTCCCAGGAGGCTCCGGACCATTCACAAAGCGCAGCGCTTCTCGCGCATGCGCAGTGGGCACCCGGCTGTCACAGAAGTCACCGCGGGAAGAAGGAAGGACAACTCCGCGGAAGTGGGAGCGGGTACCTGTCAAATTCGGGTACCCGTTCCCCCTCCCTCCCCAAGGTCCGCAGTGTCTGGTAATCTCCTTTACTGTCTGCAGTCTATGGTCATCTGTACTATGTCCACAGTCTCTGGTCATCTCCTGTACTGTGTTCGCAGTCTCTGGTCATCTCCTGTACTGTGTCCGCAGTCTCTGGTCATCCCCTGTACTGTGTCCGCAGTCTCTGGTCATCCCCTGTACTGTGTCCGCAGTCTCTGGTCATCCCCTGTACTGTGTCCGCAGTGTACTGTGTCCGCAGTCTCTGGTCATCCCCTGTACTGTGTCCG